TTTTGGTCTTTTTGAGACAGGGTCTCTCTGTAGCCCCAGCTGGTCTGGAGCTCACTATGTAGACCAGGCTGGCCTTGAACTAACAGAGATCTGCCTGCCTCTGCCTCCCAAGTGCTGGGATTAAACGCATGCACCACCACACCCAGCTTCAAAATTGGTGCAGTTTTTAAGTAATGATTTTGGTAAATACTGAATTTCGTGAAGAACAACATTTTAGCTGTTCAGAATCTCACCACAAGAGAGAATCCCAGTCAGTGCTTTTTGGTTGTATAGCCTAGAATCTTTTTCTAGGTACAAACATATATATATCATTTCCAGATGAGGAAAATACTTCAAAACATAACTTAACGGGGCTGGAAAGATGGCTCAGCAGTTAAGAACACTGGCAGTTTTTGCAGAAGACCCAGGTTCAAATCCTAGCACCCACATGGCAGCTCGCAACTGTCCGTAACTCCAGTTCCAGGGGATCCAACAGCCTCTTCTGTTCTCTGCAGGCATTGCACAACATGGTGCACTTACTTACATGCAGGCAATACACACACATGTAAAATAAAATAAATAATAAATAAATTTAAAGGGAGCTGGAGAGATGGCTCAGCGGTTAAGAGCACTAACTGCTCTTGCAGAGGACCTGGGTTCGATTCCCAGCCCCCACATGGCAGCTTATGAACCATCTTTAACTCCAATTCCAAGGGAATCCGATGCCCTCTTCTGACCTCTACAGAACTGCATGACATGGGTGCACTAACATACATACAGGCAATACACTCATACACATAAAATAAAAATAATAAATAAAATATTAAATAAATAAGTTAAAAAACATAATTTAACTGCCTCTTCTTACATTAACTGAATTAAAATTAGACTCACTATTGCAATATTATGTCATTACTGCATACAGGAATTCACCCCATGAGTTAAAAATATAAAGTGTACAATCTCAGGCTGGAGAGATGACATAGCAGTTGAGAACACTTGTTATTCTTTCTGAGGACCCAGTTCCAATTCCCAGCACCTACATGGTGGCTAACAACCATTTGTAACTCCAGTTCCAGGGGATATGACACCCTCTTCTGGCCTCTGCAGGGCATTGCACACATGTGGTACACTTAAATACATGCAGGCAAAACACTCATACACGTAAAATAAAAAGTAAAAAAAAAAAAAAAAACGTAATAAAATCAGCTGGGCATGCTGGTGCACACCTTTAATCCCAGCACTTGGGAGGCAGAGGCAGGTGGATCTCTGTGAGTTCCAGGCCAACCTCATCTATATAGTGAGTTCCAGGCCAGCTGGGGCTACAGGGAGACCTTGTCTCAAAAAAGCCCCCCTCCAAAAAAGTAAATAAATAAAAAAAATTTAAGTGTACAATCTCTGCTGAGAATAAACTGCTGTACTGGACAGACAGCCCATTTTCAAAGGTTCTTGGGAGCACCATCTGCTGCCTGTATTTTTTAATATAAAATTTATTTTGCTACTTTGAGACATTAAAGAGCTTTGTTTTCCACTGCAAATTGTGTTTGTGCTAGATCCCTGGGGAGGGTGGCCAGTAAGCACTGCAGGTAATATAATATGATTGTGGTTATGCTGTGTTAATGATCCTGCCGCAGTCTTTCCTGGAGGACAGCTCCCACCAGTTCAAAGCAGTGCTTTTGAATGGGCAGGGGACTCCACTGTCTGGATCTGTGTCCTGTACTCCTGCGTACAAGATCTTTAACACTCTTCCCACACCCTCAAAATAAGCATACTCAGGCCATGTCTTCAGCCTCCCTGTTCTTTCTCCACTCTTTGCCCTTGTTGATCTAATCTGTTTCCACATTTTATTTATAAGTAAATAGATTTATTATTTATTTTGTATTTTCTCATCTATTAAAAATACAAGATGTACCAGTTTGTCTCGTGCACCAGTCCTTCATCTCTGTTGAACAATTAGTGTGCATTAAGAATCATCTCTGTGTAACTTTCCAGCCCCTCAAACTAAATTTATGTCACCCCAAAACAAAGCCTAAAGAGCTCTTTAGATTTCATGAGTGTCATCACAACCGTGCTATTACCCAGTTCAGACTCAGATGCTGCTACTTTACAGCCCATCCGAATGCTCATACTCTTCAGTGTGTCTCACGCTGAGCCCTCGGCTCCATTTCTTGAACAATCTACTTAATAGATCTGCTTAATATTTACTGAGTACAAGCTCTGGCCCAAATACTGTCTATGATCTTGTCTAATCTTCACAACCTTGAAGTTGATTTGACAGGTGAAGAAATTGAAACTCAAAGAGGTGAAAACCCTGCCCTCCTCATACAGTGAGTGGAGGTTGGATGCCAACTCTGGTCTATTCATCAAGGTTCTTCCAGTCTCTGCTTCCTTCCATTCATTTTATACTTTGCTGCCAGGTTATTTCTCTTAAAACACAGTCGGGATCATTAATTATATACTCTCCTGTTCAAAAATCTCATGGCTCCCACCCAACTACTACATTAATTCAAACTCTTTAACCTTGCATATAAGGCTCCCTAAAACTTAGGTCTCAGCTTATGTCATCAGACTAATCTGAAACCTTATCTCCTGTTTCTCCACCACGTTGGAGAATGCTCCAAAAAAACCAGACATTCCCTCTGCTCCCACATACTCCCTCCTCTTTCCTTCTGGAAAGCTTTCATCAAATCTTTCCCTTTTCTTTATGACCCAGCTCAAAATCCTTTCATTTCCATGAAACTTTAAAAATTCTTCAACAAAAAAGATTTTGCTTTTATTTATTTATTTATTTATTTTTTGGTCTTTTTGAGACAGGGTCTCCCTGTAGCCCCAGCTGGCCTGGAGCTCGCTATGTAGACCAGTCTGGCCTTGAACTCCCAGAGATCTGTCTGCCTCTGCCTTCCAAGTGCCAGGATTAAGGCATGTGCCACCACGCCCGGCCTATTTTTTCTTTTTGTGTATGCATGTGTGTTTGCATGTGTATGGGCACATGTATGTATATGGGAGGATGTATACATCTACATGTGGAAGCCAGAGGTTGACATCAAGTATCTTCTTTGATCACTCTCTACTTACATACTGGGGCAGGGTCTCTCACTTGAACCTAGTGCTTGCTGATTCAGCTAGCCACCTTGCCCTGGGTATCTTCCTTCTTTACCTCCTGAGGGCTAAGATTACAAACAGGCCATCATACCCATCCAGCATTTATGTGGGTGCTGAAGATTCAAACTTTGTTCCCTAACACTTGCATGGCAAGCACTTTAAATCACTGAATCATCTCCCCAACCCTTCACCTTATGTTTTTGAGAGTGGGTCTCTCACTGAACCTGGAAGTCATCAGTTTGGTTAGGCTGGCTTGGCAGTGAGCTTCAAGGATCCTCCTGTTTCTGCCTTCCAAGTGATGGAATTACAGATGTGTGTGACCACACCTGGCTTTTGTGTGGGTGTTAAGGATCAAGCTCAAGTCCTCACATTTGAAAGGCAAGCACTTTACTGAGTCATCTCCCAGCCCCAGATTTTTTCCCTACTTTCATAAATTTACATGGTAGCCAGGTGTGGTGATACACTCAGGAGGCAGAGACAGGGGACCTCTGTGAGTTCAAGGCCAACCTGGTCTACACAGCAAGTTCCAGGCCAGCTGGAGCTACAGGGAGACCCTGCCTCAAAAAGACAAAAAAAAATCACATAGTTTATCTTCTGGAATATGTACTGTGGATGTAGAAAAAGCAAACATTC